TCAGCAAAGTAACACGAGTTCGGATTAGTTTCATTACCTCTCCAGTTTTGCCACGTTATCCACCTCTTTTTCACTCAGATTGAGGGGGTTTCGGAAAGTATTTCGGATACTAATGCACCGCAAAAGGCAGCCAACCACTTAAAGATTAAGTGCAGATCCAGCCAGGCGCAACCGAGAAACCGAAAAACCGAAAAAGGAGAAGGCAGACTGAACCGTAGCTTAGACAAAGGATAAAGCACGGGGTGGCCTTGGTAACACACCCATCCACCCAAAAGCATCCAATCTTCTGCCCCTGCTTCCTGCCAAGACTCACTCAAACAAAGCTAATTAACAGATTTGTCAGCTTTTCATCACTTGGTGGTGCCTTCATTGTTTTCCTCATCTTTTTGTTGTTTGACTTTTACACTTTTGAACAACAAGCCGAAAGGAAAAGCATGAAGGAATGCAAAGCATTTGATAAAAAATTATGAAAGAAAATCATTTTGATGCACGCCTGTGTGTGAGTTAGGAAGAAATCGAAACTGGCCAACTTTTTCAATTGTTAATTACGGGGCCAAGTAGCGAAGACGTCCTCCGCTTGCGAGCGGTAGGAGGTCGCCGGATCAGAGGAAATGCCTCGCCAAGTGAAGATTGTTAGGCCAACAATTTAAGCGGAAATTTATTAGAAACAGCTGGCTGCAAGGGGTCTCGCACACACTGCCAATCCTAATTGGCCTCGTTAACAGAACACCAAGACGAACACGAACAAGGAATAAAGTGAAGGCGGAAAAAGGTCCCGGCCAGAAGAGTTTAAACTAACTTAAAACCCAGGCTAGTGAGTGCGGCAGCCAGTCGAGCGAAACCCGACAAAGTAAAAAATGCAATCAAAGTTTTTGTGCCACCCGCCTTGGTGCCACCACTGTCCGCCCCCAGTGAGCCGAATTGAATGGTGTTAAGGCAATAAAACACCATCAAAGCCAGGTCCACGTTCCAGGACAAGACAGTGTCGGGGGAGGAGGACTAGAACCGGGACGAGGCGGAGGCGGGTGCGGGTGCGGGGGCGGAGGCGGAGGCCGAAGCGGAGGCAGGCACTAACTTTTCAATCTCTGCTGCAACTTCCGACAGAGACAGCCATGTGTCTAGGCTCCCACCCTATTAGGTGCCCCTACACCAGGCGAAACTTCAGATAAACAGACTATAAGCCTTTTCTTTTCATATTGTGTTTAGCTGAAAGCGGAAATGATAAACTGACATTTTCCAAAACACTTGGCAATTCTTAAAATATATTCCTTAAAATGTACGAGTATAATCCAGTAGACAAAATAGTTTGAGTCATTGGTCTTGTCAAGAAAATGTTAAAAGTGCCTAAGACTGGCATTCAAGCGATTTAATGTCTCCTATTTTTCTAAAAGAGTAGCTGAAAACTTGAAAATAGATTCTAACCAAAACAGTTGGGGAATTGGTAGAGACAGAACCATTTAGGAAACCCGAAAAGGTATAAATAACCATTAATGTTTGGAGTGTAACCCCATCCATTCTCTTTGTCCTGTATTGATATGTATGGAGCAACTTTGCTCGCAAAGCACTGCTAAATACTGGGGTAGCTCCCCGCGGGAGCCGAAAGAACAACAAACAACTGACACAAATTGCAAACTCATTAAATTAAAATTATATTTAATAACCGCGAGTGCACGCAGCGCAGCCCGGCGATTTGCTCTAATGCCCAACGACCAAACCTCGCGCCCACTTGCACCACTTGCAGCGAGTGCCCCACCCATCATCCGGCAGGGAATAACCGCCACCCACTTGGGTGCATTCCGTGTTTTATTGTTGCAGTTCCCGCCCCGCCGCCGCTGCCCTCGCTGGTGCCCAAGGCTCCGCCACCGCCGCCCCCGCCCCTAGCCCCCGGTGAGAAGAGAGTGCTCAGCAGCACACAGAAGGAGACCCTCGAGAAGCTCAGGTGAGTGGAAGGCCCGACGACTGACCCCTGACCTCCTGCAGCCCCTGCAGCTCCAAATATCCTGCATCGGGATAGCTTTTCCCTTCAAGGCACAGGATGGCCATAATTCCGATTCGCTTCGATTCGCAGGACTCGACCCCGAAGGCGCCCCGACTGGTCCGAGATGATGAAGGAGGTGGAAAGCGGCAAGAAGCTGCGCCATGTGGCCTGCAACGATAGGTGAGTGGTGTCCGCGTGCTGTGCAGTAATTACCGAGTGCAATACTTCCGATAATTAAAAATGGAATGAAAACTGAAGTTATTTAAAACCACAGAAGTGCCTTGAGCAATTTACTGTGCTAACGCCACTTCATCCGTCGAATGTTAATGACTTTTACTTAAAGTTTAATTTATAACTGGGTGGGTTAAAATATTTGCGCAGACGTTTTAGCAACCAACTAACAGGATAGTACATGGATAGCTCTGCACAAAAATGCAAACAAAAATCGTTAGAAATGTTCTATAATAACCATTCAAATCTCTTTAGATCTCAGCCCATCCTGACGTGCAAGTCGATAACCAAATTGGACGACAAGTTCATCTACGAGACGGAGAAGGGCAACTCGCACAACAAGCTGCTCAAGCAGATCCAGGGCGGCATCAAGTTGAAGCCAACCAAGACCAACGATCGCAGCAAGCCGGTGCTGGACGGTCTGCGCAAGTTCCGCCGACAGATGACCATCGAGGAGCAGCTACAGAAGTCGCAGTCCAAGATCAACATGCTCAGCGAGGCGCCCAGCAGCCATGCGCTCGGACCGGGCAGTGCCACGGCCTTGGGAGCCGGAGGATCACGGCCCAGCATCGTATCGGCCATGTCCATCGACGAGGAGAGTCCCGACGAGCTGGACGACATCGACAAGATCCGCGACGATCTGCAGAGCACCAAACAAATGCTGGCTCTGGAATTGCGCAACCGCGAGGCCCAGGATCGCGAGAACAAGAAGCTGCTGGCCAAAATCCGCACCCTGGAGACCGAACTGGAACGCGAGAAATCACGCGAAAAGAATCTCGAGTACGGATCCAATGTGATTGTGGCCACCATGGATCCCACGCCCACCGCCGAACAGACATACGTAAACTCCCTAAAGCGCGAAGTGGAGGACGCACGCAAGGTGTCCAAGGAGGTGGAGCAAAACTATCAGAGTACCGCCGAGCAGCTGGTGGAGGCCAAGACGGAGATCGAGGAGCAGCGCCGCCAGATTCAGTTGCTCGAGCGCAAGTTGGCAGCAGCTCTACAGGTAAGTCCGATTAGAGATCGGGTTTGGCACTATGGTTTTGGGATGCTGCTCAAAGTGTTGTCAGTTGAGACTAGGATATCGGATTACAACCATTTAAGTTCAATATTCGTGTACAGTTTAACCTAACTATCTACATGGGTATGCCAAGCATCGGACTCGGAAGCTAGTCCTTCTTTCTTGTTTTTAGTGTCGCCGGCGTCGGCTCGTTGCGTCCGCTGAGGGCGGCAAGTAGACGGGAGCAGCTAACGAAGCCACCGCAATCAGTAGACTCCGCCTTAGATCCCTTGTTAGTTGTCCCTAGTAGCCACTGTAGCCAGAGAAACAGATCAGCTGACAACACTTGACACAAACGCGGGATGGGTCTGGGAATGCATTACCTGGGGTACTCCTGGTTTTTCCCCAAAAACGTACTTCTTCGTGCTTAAACACCTGCTTAAATACGGTTTGCATACGAATCCTAAAATCCAATTAAAAAACCCAGAAATCTGATTGAATGCAGCATACAGCTTGGTGTAACATGCCAAGATGAATATTAAAATTATTGACAATGGCAACCGAAAAATTAAATTTGAAAATTGTATTTCATTTCGGAAGCCATAATTTTCAAAGTATAGAGGGTTCATCCCTTACCTATGCTAACGTTTGCTGATACACATTTCCCAGCAAAACAAAATCAAGTTTCTAGGAAAAAGCTCTTTAAGCAGATATGCCATGTTTAACATTCAAATATGTAATCTTAATCAGAACAAAAAATTAGAATTTCTAAAGAAAATAAAAAATCTCGTGCGTAGACGACCTTAAACTCCAACTGCCGGACGCATGCTGCATGAAAGACTCCCGCTTCTAGCTTCCGCCCAGACCCAAGCGGTGTTATGACCCGTCTGGGACACGTCCGGTCCCAAATCCTTCCCTCTGGAATCCTTCCCTTTGCTCTTGCACTCCGCAGCAACTAACCGATTAACCCGTTCACGCTCTCTTGCAAAGGCGACACCAAGCACTAACAGACCGCACATTAGTAATTGCTTTGCTTACGACGACGACGACTACGACGATTGCTTCCACTACGACCACTACCATGCAGCACGGCACCAGGTAAAGTCAGGCCCCGCTCGAGGATGCCCTCACTAATCCATTCTGTGTATGTACGATCTTCTTTCCCGTTTTCCGTTTTGGCTCCATTGCGTATGCAGGGAGGTGGATCGCTGGACGGATCGCGTCGACCCAGCGACGCCAACTTCGGAAGGGATAGCTCGCCGGAGCTGGAGCCTGAAGTCAGCGAAAGCGATCCTGATGAGCCGGAGGAGAAGAAGGTGGAGCGCAGGGAGCGTCGCTCCGGCAAGGAGCTAAAGATCCTGCGCAGCAAGCTCACCAAACTGAAGGTCAAGGAGGAGGCGGCAAAGAAGGAGAAGGACGCCCTCAAGCAAGCCATGAAGAAGAACCAGGGGATCCTCAAGTGAGTACAAGGCGTGGCAAATTGAAATATTAGCTGGTTTTAAGCTGGGATTACCTCTTAATGCCAGGGAGGAGAACAAGAAGTTCAAGAAGTTGGAGAAGGAGGTGCAGAAGATGGCTGCCTCCATGAAGCTGGACGAAGACGATGTGGACGGTGAGGAGAAGGACGAGGACGAGGAGGAGGCCGAGGAAGAGCACGCCAGCGAAGAGGAGGAGGAATCTGACGACGAGTCCGAGGAGTCGGAATCGGAGGAAAGTGAAGCGGAGACGGGCAGCGAGTCCGAGCCAGAGGTGAGTTAGCACCGCGTATTGTAAACTATTCAGCCAGCTCACCTGTACTATATCCCGCAGGACTCGCCCAACTCCGCGAAGAAGGCGAATGTGGAGCCGCGGGTGAAGAAGCACGAGAGCCGGTTCGCGGCGATGAAGAAGTGCAATGTGCTGCTCCAGGCGAACGTCGACAATTTGCAGGATCAAATTGTGCAGGTGCGATCGCGGGCCACCAATCTGCAGGACGAACTGGACGCGGTTATTGCCGATTTGGGCTTTTAGTCCTTCAGCTTGTCTTCCGTTTCTGTTTCCGTTCCTTGCTCTGTTTTTTTCGAGTGTGTGTGCTTCGAGAATATAAACATAAACAATAATAAACAAACAAACGAAAAACTAGTGGTGGAAGTAAAATTGATTTTGCAATCGATGTATCGATTTCGCGCCGTCTCCATTCTACATGTCCCTGATTATTTACAATGTAATGTAGGATGTGGTCCTGCTGTAGATTTTAAATTTGATGAATCATTTTTCATTTAATTTTTGTATAATTATGTATGAAATATATACAACAATTTTGTTGAAACTTGCCGTGTATTAAGCGCGTAGAATGTAGCGCCTGTAACGTCAGAAACAATTACCCAGAAAAGCGCGGAGTTGAAATTCAAATTATAACTGGTTTTTATTTTACTCATAAGTTGTATTTATTATCGTATTTTAAGCATGTATAACAATGTACAAAACAACAAATCGGCGAAATTGGCTAAACTAAACACGCACTACGAGTATTTACTTATGAGTGGAGTGGATATCACGCGTCCCTTCTTATATATTTTGATTAAACTACGATCTGAGCCTTGATATAAGTAGAGTCTACGATGAATGAACTGGGTTGTTTGCCGGCCTCTGATGCTGGCCGGGATTGGGTGAGAACGATGACAAGACGGGGAGAAACCGCGAACTTCTTCAGTTAGAAACACTCTGGAACCACTTTATTCCAGCAGGATGAGCCTGAATCGCTTCCTCAGCGAAGACTCGCGTGGCAGGGTACCTGCCCACTTTTTCAGGGCCGTCAGAACTACGGATCCCATCACCATCACGGCACCCACCAGCGAGTACGCGGTGGGAGTCTCCCCGAAGAAGAGCATCTGCCAGACGAAGGCGAAGACGATGTCGGCGCAGCGAGCAATGGCCACTGGTCCGGCCTGCTCGATCTGCAAGGATAGAGTGAGCAGGATCTGGCCCAGGAAGCTGAACATGCCCAGTACAACAACCAGCCAGCGATCCCGTCCGCAGCTTGGCCAGCACACAGCTCCAATGGATCCGCAAACGATCAGAGTGTAGACCAGAGCGATAGCACCGAAATTCGTCATAATTACGGAGAAGTGCAGGTTCTTAAGCGCCCGCAGCAGGATGTACACATTGGCTCCGAAGAGTGTGGATGATATGGCGGCCACAGGTCCCCAGATGTCGTACGTCTTCCCAGCGACATCCTCACTCTCCGCGGTGTCGCCGAATACAAAGGGTGGCCGCGTGATCAGGACCACACCGAGCAATGTCATGTTGATGGTCAGCACGTTGAACAGTGTGCACGGCTCCTTAAGGAAGGCTCGCGCAAAAATGGCCACGAAAACGGGCGTGGAGAAGATGATGACACTCGCATCCGCCAGGGGCATGTGTCGGAAGGCATAGAAGCTGAGCATCAGACCCGTTGTGCCCATGAAGCAGCGCAGCAGCAGTATCACCCGTTTGCCCTCCGGAAACACTGGCTGTCGGGTGTATATCAGGATGGGTAGTGTCGGCAACAGGACTCCAACGAATCGAAACGAGGCCAGCTCCATGGGGTTCACGTCCACCAGTCCCTTCACAATCACCGAGCACAGGGAGAAAAACAGCGATGAAAGCGTGGCCAGCAAGATGCCCAAGTAAGGACAGTCGGCGCCCAATCGATACTGCAGGCGCTCCAGCCAACGGGGGGCGGGATCTGGGGGCGGGGCGCCCTCCTGGAACTGCTGCAGCTCCAGGTTTTCCGGCATTCTGGGGGTGTCTTCTCTACAGTGTCTGAATTCCTTCAAAGTTTCAGCATCCTGCAAAAGGATTTGCATCAATATGTATGCAAGTGTGTGTATCGGTGGCCCACCTGCACTGAAAAATCGATTCTTTTCGCCTGCCTTCCTTATTTACGCGCTGTGTCGCTGTCTGCTGCCGCCTTTTCCGCAGGTTTCACTTGCACATTGTTTCCCCGCCGCCCGTTTCACTGAGTTTTATTCATCATTATTCACGCCCAGACTGCGTTTAATTAAACATTTTAAACCTTTTTGCGAACGGAGATTTCGGAAAACCCTGTGGACCAGAGTTGCCAGCCCGAACTTCCTCAGTCCAGCCAGTACTGCCACCCTTTTAAGCAGTGGGACAGGTCTAACGGTTTTATTTCGATTTACTTTACTAAATTTGAAAGGTTTACAAAATTGTTGTTTTAAAAGTTTATTAACATTTAAATTTAAATATTTTATTAATTGGGGCGTAGCACATTCAAATTACTGTTATAAATATTGCACCTACTTTTTTAGACCGGCTTTACAAGTTGTGAAAAGCTAAGTTGGCAGGCCAGTCGATCAGCTGCTGAACTCCGAAAGGAAAACAATGACTCGGGAATCGGCAGTCGCCACCAACAGAAAATGGGCGATTCTGGCCGCAGGAGTGGGCTTGGTATACGTCCTGGTGCGGCACAGGCAGAGGCTGCTGGGTCCACTGCGTCGCGTGTGGTCCTCCGGCAGTCTAGTGCCCCAGCGACACATAGAAGTGGTCAACTCCGTCCAGGATCCTGCCATGCAATGGGTTTTAAATGAACTGAAGAAGTAAGTAGAATACACTTTTATTTCACAACAATGGAAATTCACATTCTGCCCTTTAGTCACTGCCAGACTTTTAAAGTCCTTGGATTCGACTGCGAGTGGATCACCGTGGGCAGCAGCCGCAGGCCAGTGGCCTTGCTCCAATTGAGCTCCCATCGGGGTCTATGTGCCTTATTTCGCCTTTGCCATATGAAACAAATACCCAAGGACCTGCGGGACCTTCTCGAAGACGATGACGTGATCAAAGTGGGCGTGGCACCACAGGAGGATGCCGTCAAACTTTCTCATGACTACGGAGTGGGCGTGGCCAGCACATTGGATCTGCGCTTCCTTTGCGTAATGGCAGGCCACAAGCCCGAGGGACTGGGAAAGCTTTCCAAGACTCATCTGAACTTCACACTGGACAAGCACTGGCGCCTGGCCTGCTCGAACTGGGAGGCCAAGAATTTGGAGCCAAAACAGCTTGATTATGCTGCCAACGATGCACTTATGGCGGTAGCCATTTATCAGAAACTGTGCAGGGATCTGCAGCCAAAATACTTCTGGCAACGGAGCCATAGCTTGCGCAACAAATTCGAACCCTTCCTCGACGTAGACTTTACGAAAGGTTTCTCACTCAGCCCGACCAGCGGTGGAGTGACCCGTTCCAAGGGCTCGACCGAATCAAAAGGCAATAAATGGCTGCCCAAGAAGCAACCGTACCGGCAAATGACTACCAGAACTAAGGATTTCTACGACAACTGCCTGCTGCAGGCGCCCGACGGCGAACTCCTGTGCACCATTGACAGGCGCAAGGCGTCCTGGTATCTCAGTCAAGATCTGGGCACGCGTATAAGCGAAGAGCCCTTTACCGTGCGCCTTAACTTCGAACCAGCGGGTCGCGCGGTGGCAGATGTGGGCCGCTACTACCAGACACCCAAGGAAAACCAGTGCGTGGTGTGCGGTGACCGGGATGCCTACATTCGGAAGAACGTAGTACCGCGGGAATACAGGAAGCACTTCCCGATAGTCATGAAATCTCATACCTCCCACGATGTGCTGCTCCTGTGCCCCACATGCCACCAGCTGAGTAACATTTCGGATCTGCGTGTTCGTAGCAAACTGGCCGCCGAGTGTGAAGCTCCTTTTAAGCATGAAGACGGATCCGTCAAGTACCGCGATGATCCGCAGCTCAAGTAAGTACTTTTCCGACCCTTATCAGTATTTCTGTTCTTTAACTTAGTTAAAAGCATTGAAATTAAAAGCATGTAGAATGTTTTATCAGTTATCTTTCTAGACATATTTTGTATCACCTTACTTCCCAGACATTTCTGATAATGATACGAGCATTATTATTTTTAGAGGTGTCTACCCTAATGCTACCCTAGCTCATTGAACTAATGATAATGTTCCTCTTAGTCTGAACCCTTTTTTATTATTTACCTTCACTTACAGACGGGTCCAATCTGCTGGCAAGGCCCTACTATACCATGGCGCGAAAATACCCGCTGTTAAAAAGGCTGAAATGCAGCAAACTCTCCTCGACTATTACACCAATCAAACGGCCATCACAGAAGAGCTCCTGCGGCAAGCAGCCGATGTGGAATACCGTGTGGAGAACACCGACTACTGTCAGCACGGCGAGCGGGTGGTGCAGCAATATCGCGATAATTTCGGCGGCCTTGTGGAGCTGGAGCGCTTGTGGCGGGAGCACTTTCTGCACACCATGCAACCGCGCTTCCTTCCCGAACTCTGGAATGTCAACCACAACGCCGATCGACTGGAGGTTCGCGCCAGCGAAGGACGCGTCGATAAAGCCGATCTTGCAGTGGCCGGGGTGGATGCAAAGGTTAAAGAAATATGATGCAGGACATTTCTGAGTTTGCCACCGGCTTTGTACGTTTTATATTTCAATTTCAATAAAAATAAACTAAAATTTGATTTGTGCTATGGTACAAGACGGGTTAAGGAGTCACGGTTCATGAGGCAGATGAGCATCTCTGGACTAATCTAGGTGACTATAAATATAAAGCTTACCATATGGGACAATAATACATTATGTACACGCTTAAAACTGAAGCACCTGGATTGAAGTAGAGTGGAGTGTGGGGGCGTGGAATGGCGAGCTAAATAAACTCGAATCCCTCATACTTGTAATCCGTCTCGATCCGCATCTCGGGCAGCAGCGTCTTGCCTGTAATATCAAAGGCTGTGATAAAGGTGGCCGTCTTGCCATTCAGCTCCTCCGACTTAAGAGCCACGATTATTGAGTCATCGGTGCCGGGCAAGAACTTAAAGCTGGAGAAGCCGTGCGTGGGCGTTGTGTTTTCAGGATCGAGCCGTACAGTCTCAACGTTGGTGAAGCTTTCGTCGGCGGAGACCAGAACGTTGCAACCCATATGCTCGTCCTTGGTTTCGTTGTATCTTTTAAAAATAGATAGATAAGTGAGGGATTTGAAGGCTGTCACTCATACCTACTTCTCTTTAGAACATCGCCTAGGCAGGAAAAACCAGCGTTGCCTTTCATCTGACCAGGTTCCACTCTCGTGAATCATGTAGCCCGGCCAGGATATTTGCATCGACTGCAGGCGCAACTGCTTGTAGTTGTCCACCCAGTTCAGCGACCTCACCTCTCCGGACGGAGTAATGGCCTTTACGTACATTGGGTTGTTGTTCTCGAAATCGCCCGCACTTGTCGTCCACTCCTTACCCATGGAGCCCACATATAGCGTTTGCTGTTTCACTGTTGCCCATTCGGCCTTGAAGCCCTTGGCACTGTGTCCATCTCCATCCAGCAGGATCACCCAAGGGATGGGCTTGTCATTCACAATCTCGTATACCAAACCCGTGCGGTCGTCGAAGCTGAGTAGGCGCCCGTTGAAGGTGACCAGCTCCGAGAGCTCCATTCCGCGGCCCTTAAGAGCAAATGCTGATTCCAGGGCTGCAGGCGCACCGTCGTCCCAGCTAATCTGGATCTCCGACCTGGCCATCGTGTAGGTAAGGTAGCCCTTCTTCAGGTAGCTACGCCACGTACTGCTGCCATCGCTTTTGGTCACCTTGGAGTTTGTGTCCAGGTCGGCAATCATGGCTATCCGGTAATTTATGACACCGCCACGCAGCCCCATAGGCGGTGTAAGCGGATATGTGGCATTGTATGCATGGACCACCGCTCCATTTTCCAGACTCCGGGCATCCGTAGAGCTCCGCCGCAGCCAGTAACCGTCATAGGAGGAGTGCGATCCCTGGCGCGCAAAATAGAAGAGCAGGACGAGTACGACGGCACAAACAATCAGCAGGGCGAAGTGATAGTTGAAGCGCACCGTCCGATTCCCGATCCGGTACGTGGGCGTCCGCAGTGCCGACCGCCAGTCGCGCATGTACATGGCGCGCGGCGAGTGTTCTGCTTGTTCCCGGTACGCGAAGGCAGGGCTCTGCATCTGGTCGCACGTCAGCAAGATCTCGTTCTCGGTGATGTGTCCGATTTTCTGGGTCTGCTCGGTTTGTTTGGATGCTAGCGGTGTGACCAGCGCGGCAGCGGGAGATCAGCTGGCGCAACAGCTGATGCGAACTGGATGGTTAGCAAAGGCAACGATTTCGATTAAATTAATGTAAACATATTGGGAACAACATAATTTTCACAAAGACCGAGGGTAATTGAAATTGAAATAATTTAATTTCAAGGGAACAATACATCTGAGTATTCCTGTCCTGTGACTGTAGTTTTCATATTTTAAACGTACTAATCAGTAGTTCTTGTTATTATTCTTGGATATTCAAATTTTTGTCCACTTCTAGCTATTTCCATGTGGTATCGACATGTCTAGTGGTATCGATAAGCAGTGACTCTCTGGTAACACTGCTGGCTACCGATATATTTTCAACTTTCTTCTTCTTCAGCTGCACACGTGCTAGCTGTTTGCGCCTTTGTTTTTTTCGCAAATTATTCGTCGTAATTTGCGAAAATGCGCATTGAAACGTGCTTTTTTTGCTCCAGCAAGATATACCCAGGCCACGGGGTAAATTTCGTGCGAAATGACTGCAAGGTAAACCGATCAATTTCCTGTTGACTGTGCTTGGATGTTTATATTGATTCACCTTTTTCCGTCGTAGATCTTCAAATTCTGTCGAGGCAAGTGCCACAAGGCCTTTAAGCGAAAGAAGAATCCCCGCAAGGTTGGATGGACGAAGGCGCACCGCAAAGCCGCCGGCAAGGAGCTGGCCATCGATCCCAGTTTCGAGTTCGAGAAGCGCCGTAACGTGCCCATCAAATACAGCCGCGAGACCTGGCAGAAGGCGCTGGAGGCCATCAAGAGGGTGACGGAGATTAAGGAGAAACGCACCAGCCACTTCGTCATGGAGCGTCTGCGCAAGGGTCGCCAGATCGAGATACAGATGGACGTCAAGGATGTGCAGCGCAACATGTCCTTGATTCGCTCTCCAGCCGCCGGGCTCAAGGAACGACGTGCCAAGGAGGCGGCGGAAGAGGCCGCCCTCATGGAAGAGGATCTGCCCGAGGAGAAGATCACCTACGTGGATGCACGCGAACTCGAGAAGAAGCTCGAGGAGGGAATGGGAATCGAGGATCTGGAGATGTTAGAAGCCTAAGGACGAGTACGCTGATTTTTTCTAGGTTTAAGTTGCTGCTAAAAAATACACTAAATAAAAACCCCGTGGTACATAAATGTTGTCTATAGCCGTTCTATATTTGCGAATCACTTGTCCACTTCCCTGTCAGTATCCTTTTGCTCGGGAGACTCCAAATTAATGGTAACGGGTCCGTCGTTTTCTATATACACCTGCATGTATGCTCCGAACTTGCCATCTGTTAGAGTAAGTGGGATTAACAATAGTTAAGACCAAGACAAGAGTTAGACCAGCTGGATTGTTGCTATGACCCACCTTTAATCTTGCTGCTATTGTAGGATTGACCCAGTTGATCCAAGAAGTGATTGTACAGCTTCTGCGCCTCGTCGCCCTTCATGGCAGCCGAGAAGTCAGGTTTGTTGCCCTTAAGACGGTGATACAATGTAAACTGCGAGACGCACAGCAGTTCTAGGTTCAGATCCTTGACGGACTTCTGCCAACGCTTGCCCTCCTCCTCGAACAAACGGAGCGCCAAGATTTTCCGGACACTTAAACGGTGAGCGGTGTTAGGTGGTCTAGAACTAGGCTGGTTATCACCAGAGTGGAATTTACCTACAGATACTCAACATCCCTGGCGGTATCGGTGGCCTTGATCCCCACCAGCACGCACAGACCTGGTCCAATGGAGGACACCAGCTCATCCAGCACTAGGGAAGCTGTGTAAGTCTTTTGCAAAAATAGAAACTACTTGATCCTGCATACCCGTCACTTTGGCCGCCTTAACCCTTTGTATAACCGCCCGCATTGCTTGATTTTTATATTTATTTACAACTTAATTCGGTCTATCGCAGTGCTGGTAAATTGATCACATGTAGTGTTGATAGTCGCCCAAATAATTCAAAAATAGCGCGCGCCTTTCTGCGAGATAAACATATAACAGTATAATATAAAAACATAATAAATATAAAATATAGTACAATCAATAATATAATTTGGTTAATTGCTGGGAGAGTCTTTTTGAGCTGTAGGGTGGAATACTTGCTGGCCCTTTGGAAAGATTAAAATTGATCTACATATATGTTAAATTATAAAAACAAATTATCTATGCTAGACCAGTTACAAAACAACTTGGGTCCTCACTAGGTGAATACACAAATGATGAATTCTAATTCTGAATAAAGTATTTTATTCAATTCTCAATTAAATTGAGCTTGAATTCGCTTATAAATGTAACGGTATTTTAGAATGCAGGTGGTTCCAAAAAAGGAATTCATCATTTGGTGTTTATCACAGCTAGTGAAACCCCAGAAACTAGGGGTTAATAATATGTTATTGCAGGAAGGTTGGGATATCACAGAGGCGTTGGAGGGGCGCTGAGCTGGAGCTTCATCTCGCACAGTTTCTTGATGTGAACCTGACCGGTAAGCTCGGCCTGCCGCAGAATTCGCCGGATATCCGCCAATCGCTCGTGCTTGTTGGCCAGCAGATAGGCGGATTTAAGCTGCCCAATGTAGATGTAGGAGGAGACCCGCAGCTCCACGCTGCCGATGCGTTTGATCAACCGATCCAGCATCTGCTTTGTCTCAGGAGCACTGCTGTGCACAGCAGCATTTATGGCAATCGAGAGTATTTCATCGGACTCCGTGAAAATGCCTCCGCCGTTGTTGCTTCCTATGCAGTCCAGCAGGCGCTCTACCTCACCCAAACGCTGATTTCTAGACAGGTACTTAGCAGTGGCTCCAAACACCTTTATTGCAGCCAGCTTGTAGTCCTGCATGATGCTAAGCATTTCGGAAAATTAAAACAATTTTAACTAGGATTGTGGACTTATTTTTGCTATAAATATGCTTACCCATAAGCCAGCCCAAAACCTTCGTCTATGTTCTTGCCGCACATAAGGATCAGAATGCAAATTTGTATGCGATCTGCGGCGCCTTCAAACAGAGTCGGCAGAGTTCCTCGACTGGACTCTAGTCGAATCTTTGTGGAGGGGAAGCTTGGTATTAGTAAACGTTGGGTTACACATAATTCAAGACAGTACCTGCTTAAGGGTTTGTATAGTTTTTAGTGGCTCATCTTGCGCTTGCTCTCGCTCACACTTGTCCAAGAACTTTGCCACCTCCAACTGTCGCCGGATGGTATTGATGTGTCCATTGAGAGCTCTGGCATCCATTTGCATGGCGAAGCAGGCACCTCGAACGCTTGTTGTGCTACTTACACTGTTTCTGCGACCCTGCTGTCGTTGCATGTGCTCCCACTCCGACATATCCAGCTCTCCCTGAAGATGCCTAAGGGCCGCGAGCAAGTGCTGGGCGTTGGCATGCAGCTTTTGAAAGTTCTCGCACTGTAAGGCGTAGAACTTCACACACGTCATGCTGGCCCGGATGGGATCCTTTAGCAGCAGCTGCAGTTGGTACAGCGAACTGAGCTGCTGCTGCTGCTCCAGATGGCGACAGGTCTGCAGCAACGGCAGGCGCCAGGCAGTGAATTGAGCGTCGTCGAGCTGTTGCAGTTCGTCCATCAAAACGTTTAGACCGCCGTTGGCCAATTGCGGAGAGAAAATGTGATGGATGAAGAGATCCGCGTCCAACTGCTGGTGCTGCCAGTAGCGAAGTGCTGCCCTCAGCTCTTCACGACGCATCAGAAAGGTGAGAATATCGCCGTGACTGCCATAGGTAAGTACATAGTGCAGTGATTCCTCAAAGCCGCGCTCCTGCCGACGACTTTCCTCACTAACTGGCATTTGACAACCATAGTGTCCCTTTGCTAAGTTCTTAAGTCCAGCCAGCGCGTTCATGATGTTTAAAGCCGGTTCCTGGAGCGGACGTTGCTGAACGTAGGGCTCTCGACGTCGTGTGAAGAGTGAGGCCAGCGAAGAATTGGAACTACGAATAAGCGAGGCTCGGTGAAGAGTCTCCGGTTGTGGTTGAAACTGGGGAATTGCGGCTATCAACTGTAGGATTTCTTGAAGAAGTGCTGGCCCGCGCTGTGGCCGCTTCCTGGGCAAGAGCACTGCCTCCGTAGAAGCTACTCCAAACATGTTCTTACAGATGCTGCTATTCAGTTGCTCACTTGAGAGGCGAGTCATGCAATGAGCAAACTTTTCGCGGGCTATAAACGAGTCAAATTTATTTGGGGTGTTAGAACTGTAATGGAATGATTTTACCTGCATCATAGCAACCGGCACGAAGGCATGCCAGTCCGTGGGCCGCCATTACGCCGGTGGTGGCGAAACCACACTTCAGATGCACCTCCAGTGCTAAAGTCCAGTGTTCCGCTTCCACCAAAGCGTCTGCCAGCTTGCGCAGATTGTGGTTGTTGAGTGGTCCGGTTGGGATCAGCGACTCACAGCCCTGCTGCACCACTGACATAATAATTTCCGAATGCTCACGAATGTTTTCTAGCTCTCCTGGTGCACCACGAACCTAGCATATGTACATAAATATAAATAAATATTTTTAGTTATGGACGGACAACCAACCTTTGCGGCGAAAGCCAGACAGTTTATCATCTTGGCCAACAAACCGTAGTCCACCTCTGGATTGGGCACGATTAGCTTTTCCAGTTTGCGGCAGTGAAATAGCAGCAAATCAACGCAGCTGCGCTGCTCGACATGATTGCGAAGTATGGACAAACTTAGGGCCACACTGGGAGCGTGTTCATAGGAGAACTCCTCGCGCAGCAATTTATCGTGTGTAATAATCCCACTTAGCTGCCATTTACAGGAATCACGCCGTCCAGAAGACTTCGATCCTAGTCCGGAGGTAGCACTTCGCTCACTAGAAGTACCATCTCCTTGGTCTTTAGCAGCAGTGCTGTTCGCACAATCGTTGCAGATACGCACCTCCAACTCGTCGTAAAGCTCTGGGATGCGTATTCGATGGGTGGAGCAGGCATAGCACACTACCCGCCCACACCTACGGCAATGATGTCGCCGCATCAGCATGGTGAAGGCTGCTCGCCGACAGCACATGCAATGGCTGGCCTCCTCGTCCCGCGTCCACTGCTGCCGGTTGGGTGCTTGCTTGGGCATCACGAACGCACCACAAAGCGAGTCTAGTGAGTTATGCACATCTGTGCCGAGAGAACTCGGTTCAGATGCCGCACGTACATTTGCCACATGGTAGTCCAGAGCTTTGCTAGCATAAATTCGTAGTAACAGATCCAAGCAATCCTGGCCCACAAAGTGATCCTGCTGGTAGGAGTTAAAGTTTAGCAAAATAAAAGCTTCCGATGTTGTTTGTCCCAGTTGAAATCGTAACTTTGAGGGTGTTTGTCCTGCTTCACTTCCTAAACCTGCATTAGACTGGACATCGTAGACATGGCCCGTTTTCTCAAAACAATACGGACATGGACCTAATGGTCTCTCTTTCAGCAACTTGGAACGAGCCGCATCTAGAAGCTTTCCCAGCAATTCAAAGCGAGCATTCATCACTAACTGCTCTACAATGAGCAAGGGATGTCGGAGTAATTTCCAAAATTGAGACCGCTCAGTGGCATTCATTTGTCGTAGGAACTCAAGGGATAGCTGATAGTTCCTGTAGAGTCGCGGATCACGGGCGTGACCCTCCAGGTAGTCAATTACCCACTGCAGAAGCGGCAGCGACCTAAACTTATCCTTATGTGTATCCAGGAAATTCACCAATGGGTTCGGTGGAAACATCTCCACAATTCCCAGAAGGGACTCATCCAGCTCCTCGCCATCCCTCAGTTCCAAGAGAGCATCCAACAGGGTTAGCAAGCACACCCGCTGCTGTCCCGCGGATCCAGCAAGATAAACCACCTTACTCCACTCCAAGCAGAGGCCAAATCGCCGTCTCTGCAGCAACTGCTCGAAGATCACATTCGGCGTCTGACGTCCAAAGTCATAGGCCTGTGGCCAGCTCTCGAATTTCAGCAGAGCCGAAACTCTGGCGTATATGGTGATGTCAGACAGCGAGTGCTCCAGCTCACTGCGCAGGGTGGGGGGAATTGCCTTAGCCGCCGAGCGGTGCTGGAGGGTTCGTTCTATTAGCTCTTTGGCCTGCTGACTGCTTGGAATGCGCGTGAAGTGCTCCTTGAGCAGCTGTGCTCGCTGTCCGATATTGCCCATGTGGACCACGAGATGTATATTTCGCGGATCCTTTTCAATAAGATCACCAATAAGTTGGTCAATCCGTGACTTAAGCCGCTTTGGGGAATCTAAAAGAAACGAAAGGTTAAAGAGGTGGAAAGAGAATATAGTTTGGTTAAGGCTACCTGATTGTCCACCTATTCCAATGAGAAGAATCTGCAAGAGTTGTTCCTGATCCGTCACCAACTGGTCCAAATGTGCATTTTCCAGCTTGTATGGGTTCAATGCGGCCAGCACACGGTTTCCGTCGTGCATGGAGGCCAAAACCGCCACCTCAGGCAGATGAATTAGCTGACCCAGAAAGGAGAAGTTGAGTCCCGCTTCACCATCGGGAAGACTTCCTAGCTGTATGGCCAGCAATACTTGAGCCAACAACTGGTTCTGTTGCGAAATATAGTTGTGAATAGATTCCTGCTTTTGCGGAGCCACAAAACGTGGTAATCTTTTTGTGGGTTCCTCGCTCAGTTGGGGGCAAATGTTTAGAGCAATCACGTGAACGAGATTAAGGTGTAGTGCCGAAACACTTGCCTCGATCTCCAAGGGTGTTATGCCACACTCGTAGATCAGTTCGCCAATGACTTCGTAGGGATCGTTGCGAAGCAGCTGAGTAGTGTGGTACTCCAGGTTGGGATCCCTGAGCTGCAAGAGGCGGGCTAGTTGTTGGACATATGTGCAGAAGCGGGCGTAGTAGTTATGGCGCGAACGGAGCTGTTGGAACTGACTAGCGTTGGAACGCAGCTCCTGTCCATGCGAGTATTCGGATGGATCCTTTTGGTAGAG